GTTGGGATGTCAATCTTTCCAGTGTCTCCAAAGGGAACTCAGTTTTTAGTCATAATTGTTCAGCTGCATTCTACTGGTGTCTTCTTCAGACCATTGCTTTGTGTCTGTCCTGCTCTGAACAACCAGGGAAATACCTCAAACAGTAGGGTCTGCCCTCTTTTCCACTTGCTGGGTCCCCTTGTCCTGCTCACTTGGCCATGCCCCCCAGTCTCTCACCCCACTCCGTGGTTAGCAGCTGCCTCTGAAGCTCTCGGTGCTGCACTAGCCTAACTGACTGACCCCAGGAGGCAGCGGGTACTCATGACTAGGAAGGAGATACAAAGTGCCCCCGCCCATCCTCTGTCTAGCAATCTTGGCTCAAGACTCCAACCGGAAAAATACAGTCCAGGAAGAGACGGCTATCAAAAATCTGGAAGCTGCCAGTCTTATGGAGTCCCCTTGTTCCTCTTTAGTCTTTGGGGATCTCTTTTGGGGGCACCACTCAGTGCAGGTGCCAGAAAAGGAAACCTTCATTATGTGTCTCCCAGACGTCAGGTGTCAAGCGTTGCTTCAATCAGTCTTTGAAGGCACAATGTGGGAAGGAAGTTCAATCATTTTGCACATTGAAGAGGTTCTGAGAGGCTAAATGCCTGGCCCCGGGATGCACAGCTGATGATTCACAGGGCTAGAACGGAACCAGTCCAGTCATTCTGACCGCAGAGTCTCTTATCTGTCCCCAACTTCATTTGGCTGCCCTGTGTTGTGCCTTGTCAGGGCTGGGAACTACGGTCTCAACACCAGAGACTCCTCTCACTTTTGCTGCCTTCAAGGGCTCCTCCTTGTGGCCAGGTGTGATCTTGCAGACTGGCGCCTCACTTACGGTGCTGTGCCTACTCGTTTTTTAGTGGAGTCCTGGTGTGGCACTGTAGGAAAAACACTGGACTGGTAACTGCATGGTCTGCAGTTCAAATCCACTAGGCTCTCGAAAACTCTATACAGGGACATTATAAGTTGGAACACACAACAACACAGCTTGTGTACGTACCTAAATAGGTGATGAGCTTTTTGCCTTAAATTTCTTTTTTAAAATGTTTTAATAACTCAGGATCACTTTGTTTAAAAAAAAAAAAAAAAAAATCAAATCCTATAGAAGCATATAGAGGGCAGTGATGGTTCAGGGGTAGAATCTTTGTCTTCCTTGGAGGAGACAAGGTTTAATTCTGGCTAATGCAAGTCAAGTGAAACCACCTCCTGCAATGGTCAGTGGAGCTTACATGTAGCATGATGCTGAGCGCCTGTTCAGTGGATTTTTCAGACTAAAACTAATGAGAAAAGCTTGGCAATCCACCTGCAAAAAAAAATAGCCAACTAAAACCATATGGAGCACACTGGTCCAATCCCGTTATGTGTGGGGTTGCCATAAATCAGAGGCCAACTCAATGGCAGCTAACAACATGAAAGTGTATACAGTAACAAGGGATGGCTTTAGAAAAAAATTTGATTGTGGTAACATATATAATACATGACACTTTAATTTGTTTTTAAGTGTACAATTCAGTGCTAACTAAACTATTGCGCAACCCTCACCATTATTTTCAAAAATGTATTCACCCCAGAGACTGTACCGATTAATCAGTAACTCCCTCCCCAGTGACGGCATTTTATATAGGTGTTCAATACAAATCTGCTGGCTGATCTGCTTTCCTTCCCACACGGCCAGCGCCCCATTGTAGAGCCCTCAGCTAAAGACATTTGCGGGCTACTCCTTCTCCCACACTGCACACTGGGTAGCCGTGTTTGTTGCCTTTTAAGGAAAGGGGACAGAGGGTTACAAAGGAAGGAGGGCTAACTTCAGAGATCCAGTGACCTCTAAAGGGACCAGCATCACTGGAGAGAGCAGGACTGCAGCTTCTAGCAGGTTTTCCATCCCGAAAGGCCAGTGGTTATGACTCAGCAGGAATGAAGCCTGTGACCAAAGAGATATCCATTTATATCCTGAGGGGTGGAGGGAATAGAGAGGAAAAACTGTATACCCTGTTTCTGTAAGCCTTATGATACCATAGTCATTCCCCTCCCTGTCCCCCCCCCCCCTCAGAAGTAGTAGTAGGCTGTAATCTCTATGGTTGAAATTCAAGGCAAGTAATTGACTAAACATCAAATGTCTGCATGTCGGAAGATTACTGTAAATGCATACAGGGAGCACTGGACCTATCAAACCACTCAGCCTGAATGGTTTCATGGTCTTGTTACACACATGCCCTAATTTAGCCAACTTGTCGTTTTAGTCAGCAGAATGGATCAATGAGAGTTGTCCTTCCACAATTTACAGACTCTACTAAGTTCATGGATACTCAAATGTATAAGTTAATTCTGGGCTCTACAGAAACTGCAAGATAGAAATAAAAGTAGGACCAAATGTTGACAGTAAATTGTTCCCCAAAGCAAAGTCCCTGAGATTGTAATGATGGTCAGGCATGAGTGTTTCCCCTGCAGCTCTGCCCATGTCTTTACCCACCACCTGGTTAGCACTGACAAGACTCCAGTTACTTTGGCCATTTATCTTTTTTTTATTTAAAAGACCTCCTCCCAGATAACCAGCCACTCCAGGTCTTAGCAACTCTCAGGTCAGGAAGTCCGCCCTTGCCCCAAACCTGTATGTTGTTGCTGTTGGTTGTTAAGTGCCATCGAGTTGGTTCCAACCCTGTATAGGGTTTCCAGGTAGCAGCCAACTTGTCATTCAAATCAACTTTGCAGTCCAGCACATTAACCCACAGTACCACACTAGGACTCCAACCTGTATGTAGCAAGAGTGATTTATTTAGATTTAAGCCCTTTCCCTCCTGGTTTGACTTCTTGTTGAGGGAACAGCTGTTCACAAGGCCATGTAATTGGCATCTGCTCCGTTTCTGAGTTCCAGAAGGGCTGGGTGCCAGGGCAATTTTTTTCCCACATTGGAGAGCCTCTCAAAAGGCTGGAGTGACGATGGCGTCTTTGCAGGTCCAAGGACACAGCTGCAAGCTGCCTAGTGCGGTACATATGGAAATGCACATGCCCAGTGACCGTGCTCTGTGATCCCCTAAGGAGGTACTCTAGGATGGGTCTCGTCTGCATACTCTTGCACATCTTCCTTTGCATATCGTCATCCCAAATTGAAGGTCCTCTCCGCCCCCCTCTCCCCACGCCCCCAAACTTTGTTGAAGTGCCAAGCATCCTCCCAGCCTTGAGGATACAGTCCTGGCCTAAAGTGGGCTCTGCATCTCTGCAAAGTACTCCCACAGTCATCTCCAGGCCCACAGTGCCACCCAGTGGCAACTACAGAGATAGCACCTAGCTTCCCAACAGATGGCTTTAGTCTGGGGTAAGATTCAAGCTCTTTCTGACTTACTGCTGTCTTGGTAATAGCTTCCTTAACCTGAACCTTTTCCCCCTTTACAGGTGGCTATGAGCGGTTTTCCTCCGAGTACCCAGAATTCTGCTCCAAAACCAAGGCCCTGGCAGCCATCCCACCCCCAGTGCCCACAAGTACAATGGAGTCCTTGGATCTGGGCTGCACCTCCTGTGGAACCCCACTGCACGACCAGGTAGAAGCGCAGGCAGAGACAAAGGGCAGTGTGGGAATAGGTGGAGGGAGGGTTTCCTTTCCAGATCTCTGTATTTTGAGGACGTTGAGTTCAATGTCCCACTTTGCAGGGAATGTGGTGAATGAACCCTGAGTATTGGGTGGGATGTTGGATAGAGTCCACTTATTCATTGGTGTTCTTCCTCATTCCTCATTTATTACCCCCTCCTTGATAAAGTAAAGAAAAGACCTCACTTCCAGAAGTCTCTGATTTGGCCACATGTGCCCATAAGTGGGGAGGCTGATTAAAGTCGTGTGTTGGGTGGCCTTTGTACAGGAAGCTGCGAGAAAGAACATGATTCTTTTTTGAAGGAGCAGTAGAACCAGGCCTGGCCCACAGCATCAGGCTATACCTATTGTATATGCCAGCAGTGAAGGCCAGATGGACATAACTGTCATCCTACCATTGCTGGGGGAGGAAATTCCATTTCTTATAAGCCTTTCCAATTCCATGGCGAGGACATGTATTTATGGGGCACAGTACCTTTGAGTTCTTCTAACTCAGAAAAGTTTCAGAAACTTAGCTTGATTTACACTATCTCATATTACCCTCCTCTTGTCTATGAGGCCCGGTTTGTATCTACTTTTGGTTTGCTAAGTGAAGACATAAGGAGCTCTGGTAGCGTAGTGGTTATGAATTAGGCTATGAACCACAAGGTCAGCAGTTTGAAACCACCAGCGGTTCTGCGGGACAAAGATGAGGCTTTCTGCTCCCATAAAGATTTACAGCCTCAGAAACCCTATACAGGGTCACTGTGAGTCAGAACCCACTCCACGGTACATAAAAATAACAACAACAACAAGTGAAGACATATCAAACCAAACAAATACGTAAGCCACATGATAAATAGCTTGATTGTTAAAATATGTGAGTTCTTGTCCCCCAAATTAATATTTTATAGTGTTTTCAGTGAAAGGCGTTCTGGTGACACAGTGGGTTGAGAACCAGGCTGCTAACAATTCAAACCCACCAGAGAAAGATGACACTGTCTGCTCCCACCCAGATTTAGTCTCAAAAACCCTAGGAAGCCATTCTTAGAGGGTCCCTCTGATTAGAATTGACTTGATGGTGGTTTGAGTTTGGGGGTTCTCAGTGTAAGATTACACAAACTGGTTCCCATTTAACAGTTGCAGCACAAATTGTTCAGAGACATCCATTACATTTTCCACAGTGTTTTAACATTCTTCTTCATTTCTTTCTGAATATTTCACTTCTAGTGACTAGTTTCCCTGTCCCCTTGCCCTTTCATCTTTGCTTTAGAGTGATTATTGACTATTTGCTCAGATAGATGATTTTTAAATGTGTGTAGTACTCACTGGTAATTTCTCCAGTTTTTCACTGGTAACTGTTCCATCTTATGAACCAATATGTAATTAAGTTATAAGGTGCCCTCATAAGGTAGTTTTGGTTCAAGGTTTATGGAGTATCACAGGACAATAGTCTTGGGGAGTTTTCTATTGTCAACCAGTGCAGCAGATCTGGACTTTTAAAGAATTCTGAGTTCTGTTTCACATTTTTCTCCTCTTTTGTCAGGATTCATCTATTGTGGCCCCTGATAAGAATGGTCTTCAGAGGTAGCTGGGCACCATCTAGTTCTGGCCTCAGGGTAGCTGAGGCTGTAATTCATGTAGCCTGTTACTCCTGTTGATTAGTTTTTCTCTCTGAGTTTTTTGTTTCATCTTTTTCTCTAATAGCTGTATTGTTGCTGTTGTTAAGTGCCATCGAGTCATTTCTGACCCATAGCGACCCTGTATAGGGTTTCCAAGGAGCAGCTGGTGAGCTTGAACCATCGATCTTGCAGTTCAAATGACTTTGCAGTCTGATGCATCAATCCACAGCACCACACCAGGATTCAATAGCTGTACTACAAGGTGGCAATATTAGATAGGTTAGACAGCTGCTTGCAAGCTTTTAAGATCCTAGATACTACTCACCAAACGAGGCTGTAGAACATAAACTTTGTAATGTATATTAGGCCAACTGACTGAGTTGTCTCATGAGATTATGGCCCTAGGGTTTCAAACCCAGAAAACCAATATTATGAGTATCAACTCTTAAATGTTACAAATGGTTCAGCGAGACTGACAGACAACTGCTGCCTCCTCTATCACCAGGCAGGTGGGCTGCTTGGACAGCAGGTGGGGTCAGCAAGGCTTTACCTGGTTCATGGGCAGAGCAGAGGCCGGAGGTTAGAGGAGTCCTGCTGGACCCAGCCACTCTCTGCCAGGAGCTCCTAGAGGATCATGGGAAAGCCCAGAAGGGCTGTGCCTAGCACATATTCTCCCCGGGGCCTATAAAAGCCCATCGCAGACTGGCTTCCCTCGCCTGTCCCATGCAGTCCTTTTCCTAGTTGCCTCATACTCATGTTGTTTGTATGCCTTTGTTTTCTTCTCTGGCGCAGGGAGGTCCTGTGGAGATCCTTCCCTTCCTCTACCTCGGCAGTGCCTACCACGCTGCCCGGAGAGACATGCTGGACGCCCTGGGCATCACGGCCCTGTTGAATGTCTCCTCAGACTGCCCCAACCACTTTGAAGGATACTTTCAATACAAGTGCATTCCAGTGGAAGATAACCACAAGGCTGACATCAGCTCCTGGTTCATGGAAGCCATTGAGTATATCGGTAAGTTGGTGGTCCTGCCCTTTTTGGGTGATTAGGTTAGAGGGCTGGGGAGGGGAAGATAAGAGGAAACCGCTTGTAATAGACGTGCTACAGGAGGGACTTGGAAAGCACTGTGTTCAGGATGTGCCCATTTCCTCTCTTCCTCACCCACTGGGTGTTGTATTTGGGGCAATAAGAGGAAGATGAACTCCTGTACCATTGTTGTTAGCTTACCTACCCTTCCATTACATGTCTCTATGTGTCTTGATGATAAGAACTTTTGGATGGGGTGGAAGACAGCAACAAAAACGGGGAGAAGTTGAGAATTAGATCATTGTTTTTGCTTCTGCAAATGGAAATCCTTGAATGTATATTAGGGTATATCTGGTTCCTAGTATGCACGTTTCCTATGTGTAATGTTCTTGTTTGGTTAAGTCTCAAAATTACCCTAGAATGAATGGGTTTCTGGAATCCCTCATCTGTGGCTGTCTTCCAGCCCTTTTCCAACCCTTGCCCACCCCCACGTTGGCTCAGCCCCTGTGATGAGGAACCAGGAGCCCTGAGAGCACTAACGGTGTCATGCTCTCTGCCCAGATGCGGTGAAGGACTGCCGTGGACGGGTGCTGGTGCACTGCCAGGCGGGCATCTCACGCTCTGCTACCATCTGCCTGGCCTATCTGATGATGAAGAAGAGGGTGAGGCTGGAGGAGGCATTTGAGTTTGTCAAGCAGCGCCGGAGCATCATCTCGCCCAACTTCAGCTTCATGGGGCAGCTGCTGCAGTTCGAGTCCCAGGTGCTGACCACCTCCTGTGCTGTGGAGGCTGCTAGCCCCTCGGGGCCCCTGCGGGAGCGGGGAAAAACCACCCCCACCCCCACCTCTCAGTTTGTCTTCAGCTTCCCAGTCTCTGTGGGGGTGCACTCGGCCCCCAGCAGCCTGCCATACCTGCACAGCCCCATCACCACCTCCCCCAGCTGTTAGGGTCACTCTTGGAGTCCCCAGAACAAGAGTCAGCTTTCAGCAAGAGTTGGGTGGGCCCATGTGTGGCTGCAAGTTGGAACTGACTAGCGGGGGGCAGGTGACCAAGCTCCTTCCCCATCCACTTCTCCTTGGCCATCCTCGGGGCCAGCAAGAATGGCAATAAGGACTTTGAATACATATTAAAAGCAAACAAACAAAACACTCCAACTTAGAGCAATAATGGCTGTCTATGCAGCCAGGGAAGACCTTGGTTTGGTTTGTGTTGTCAGTTTTACTTTTAAGATAGAAATTTCTTACCTCATTTTTTTAAGCATAAGGCTTGAAGTTATGAAATCCACAGATCCTGGCAAATGTGTCCAACCAGTTTTATTGGGGGAGGGGGGTGGACAAGGGATAAAAAACAAACCACTTTCCCAGAAGTGCCTGGATTTGTGTTCTTGTTACTTTTTTGTTGTTACAGTACAGGAATTTTGTTTTGTGGATTTTTTTTTGTTTTTGACTTTAAAACAAATCTTTTAGGACATGATTTTCATTTCTAAGTCACACAACAAATGAATAATTAAGCTTAATAATAAATAAAAGTATTTATTAAGAATTTCCTCAGTATGTTAAGTACAAGAAGAGTAGTGACAGTTCATTTAGAATATATTTATGTTGATGTCAAACAATGGAGCACAATAGCATGCAAACATCAGGGCAGTTAGGAAATCCATGAATTCTCCTAGGTCTGCGCAGGTCAACATGATGATCCACTGGGAGGCAGGTGGGTGGGTGGACAAAGGAGAAAAGGAAAGGACAGCTCTTTACTTACTTTGGAGCTAGTTTCTGAGCCACAACAATACCACCTTCTCTCTACGTTGATCAAGAATTTGATTGGGTGGTGGGAGCTTTTCCCCCTAACCCTGCTTAGGTCTCTTCTATCCTCAGTGATAAACGCCATATCCTATAAGGTGCTCCGGAACAAAAACTGAGTGCAATTCTGATTTTTCCTCTAGTGAATCATTTGGCAAGGCCATTGGGAAAACCAGCTAACTAGAGATAAACCTAAAATGGATCCTTTTATAAGTTAAACCATCCTCTTTCTCTCTTGCATGAATCTTGAGTTTTTCATTTTTACGGGGTTGGCTTGGAATGAACTATGCCAACAATTCCCCGCATTCTTAAAATTTCTGGTTTAAGAGAATATTTTTAAATGCTCTCTTTAAAATGGAAAAAGGGGAGTGGGCACCATGTTCAGGTCCCCTTGAAGTTGAGAGGGCAGGAGAGTACAGTGAGCTGGGTGGGGCAGACTCCTTGCCTGGGCCTGGCTGACGGCTGGGTTCTGTGCAGGGCATGGTGGACACTTGAGGGCCATCTTAGAATCTTTTCTTGGGACAATGCCATTTTAAGAGGCCTTTCCAAGTGGAGGAATGGCTTTTGGAAGACAAAGGATATGTTTACTGTGGGGTGGGATTGTGGGGAGGGAGAGGGAACAAGCTAGATGTTGCTTTATTTGTAGTGTTGTGGAACAGTGTTGTTACGGAGTGCCAGATTAGAGGTCATTGAAAACTTGTCTAGAAATGAGAGCATGTCTTGTTTTGTTTTTTAAGCCCTTTGAGAGTCTAGATCTAAATGGACATTCTTGCTCAGCTCAATAACTTCAAGCCTCAGTATCAGAATAGTGTTGGGATGCTCTCATTGGAACATCCCAGCCAGGACCAGGCTCATCACCTTCCCTTCCATGAACCTGTGTCAGCATCATTAGTCCTGCCTCTTTCAAGCCCCACCTCTGGGTGAGGCCAGAGTTCCCATTTCCTGCTTTTAGAAAAGCCAGAGGCCCCCTTCCTTCCCCCCGGGGAGCTGCTTGGCTCAATAGTTAAGGACTAGGCGTGGAGGGCTTGGGGTTCCTACACAATGGATCCATTTAGACACAGCACAGTTGGACATTCCCACTTTTTCCTTGATTCCTGGAAGTCACTTCATGTTTTGTGATGAATGAGGTCAAATGGGTCCTGCAGCTGAAAAAACTAGGGGTTCCAACATGAGATCAGTAAGGGAGGAAGGGCTGCTTGGGGGATGGGGGTGGGTAAAAGTGGTCCAGAGAACAGAGTCACATTTTATAGAATGAGTGTACATTTGTCAGAAACTATGCATACTGCTTTCCCAGATTGGAATTAGACCACATGGACAGTAGGAACTCAGGACTGGTTCCAGATCTGTCTTTTCCCAGCTTCCCAATTTACATCTTTCACCACAATGTCAAATAACTATTTATAAAGCCATTTTCTTTGTACTTGATAGCATTGTGAATGAGTAGGAAATTGACGTGAGTGAAAAAGAGGACTTCTGTTGTTGTTCTCCCATCAGAAGCCTCTTAGATGACTTAGAGTAGCTCTAATGAAAATACCACCACACGTAAACCTGAATGGTCAATGACTTTCAATAGGCACCCCTCCCACGAAATGATTTCTGGTGATGTGAAATTCTCTAGTGGCCAGAGGGCATTGCTGACTGAGTTTACAGAGCTGCTCTAAGGGAAATGGGCCGATGTTCCTACAGAACAGTATTAGGCTGAAACCATTGCTGAATGGAAGGCTAATAGTGCCTTCCTCATTCATCCTCACCTGAGGCTGTTCCTTCCAGCCATATTCCAGAGAGATTTCAACAAGCTACAATTCTGATCGTGTTCCTTTCCATTTGTTTGTTTGTTTTTAATCCCTTGGGAAGTTGGATAAAGGGAGGTGTAGAGGGGCAGTTGATTCAAGGGTGAGGAGAAGGAACTAAAGATTGGACTTGGCCAAGGATCACTAAGCACTTGTATTAAAGCAGTGGTTCACCTTGGCTGCCCATTAGAATCACCTGGAAGCTTTAAAAAGTCCTTTCTCAGAACAATTAAGTCAGTTTCTGGGAGTGGGACCCAGGCAATTTGTGTCAAAGCTCCCCACGTGCTTTTGATGTGCTGCCAAGTTTGCATAAGTGCTTTTGGTTTGGGCAGGGTGTGCTGTTGTTAGTGGCTGGGCCTGGATAACACAGAACTAGCTTGTCTCCCTGGAGTCACAGAGTTTGTCACTGGCACAGTATGGCCCTATTGCCAGGCCCAAGCCAACCAAGGACCAAGATGGTTCATTTCAGGAGCAACTCAGAGCATGCAGCTCCTGAAGGGAGCACTCTGCCCTGCTCCCTGAAAGCCAGCTGGTCTGGAGAGCATCCTTAGGTGACGGAATACAGCGGCTAGATGACAATGTTTTCCTTGCTTATAAGTAGTTGGAGAATGTCACCTGGAAAGTGTTCTCTCAGCCGTAGTACTCCGCCCTTCCTTAGAGTTTGAGTCATACAAAGAAGAGACTTCTTACAGACAGAGCAATGCAATACTTGTAACTTCTGTAAATAGCCCCATCTTTCAGAGTGATGTCATTTCTACATTTGATATGCCTGTATTTCTGTAGGATGTATATAGTTTAGGGGATTTTTGTTGTTGTTGCTTAGTTTTGTTTTTTAGAAAAGTCAACACGTCTGTTTTTATTTATTGCTTGAAAAGAATCATTTGAAGAAAAATAAATAACATTTTCAACCACCTCTGGCTTGGTTTTTGTCCTTTCCTGGAAAGCTGTCCGATTCCTCTGACGCAGAAGGGGAGGGAAAAGCCTTGGGCCACTTACTAATCTCTTGTGTATAGTCCCATTCGCAGTGAGACTGGCTGGTGAAAATGTCAGCCCACTTTTGTTCACTGAACACCACTCAAGGAAAATGAAAGGAAGAGACTGGTAACTATTCTCTGAGAGCCTGGTTTCTCCAGTTGCAGAGAGACTGATAGAGGAGAACTGGGTGACAATCAGGACCCTTCATCTAAGAATCTACTGTGTGATACGCACAGGATACAGAATAGAATGACCAGAGAGTGGCAAAGTAATTCAGCTGCAATAGAAATATGAACAAGAAGGACACGCCACCCTATTGGTACGGGGGAGGGGGGTCCAATGTGGCTCACAGAATCAGGAAATTTGACTAATCTTGTTTTTGTTGAGATCATGAAAATAAGCACTATGGTTCAAGATCAGATTGACGAAATAAACTGAAAGTTCTATTGCATAGGCCAGTGGTTCCCCAGTGATGTACTGCTTGCCTCAGAGCCCACTGGTGCCAATTTCTCAAGTTAAAAACATACTAGTAAACATGCATTTTCATTGTGTCATTATTTAGCATTATGAAAGTACTAAATCCATTGCTGTCAAGTTGGTTTCTACTCATACCAACCACATGTCTTACAGAGTAGAACTTCTCCACAGGGTTTTCTTGGCTGTCCTCTTAATGGAAAAGACCCCTGGTTGTGCACTGCTTAAGTACTGGGATGCTAACCAAAAGGTCAGTGGTTCAAGCCCACCAGCCACTCCACAGGACAAAGATGTAGCAGTCTGTTTCTATACAGCTTTGGAACCCCTTTGGGGTAGTTCTACTCTGTTCTATGTGGTCACTAGGAGTTGAAATTGACATGATGGCCATGGGTTTTTAATTTGATGGAAGAAGATTTTCAGGCCTTCTGCAAAGCTGCTGAGTGTACTCAAACTGCCAACTTTTAGGCCAGGAAAGGAATGAGGTATATAATCTAGAAAATCAGAGGCCATGCTTATTTGCAAATTATTTGTTTCTGAAAAACATAAGGGAAATGAACCAAAATTCTATCAGAAGTAAGAGAATATAGTAGTAAATGGTTGATTATAAAGTTTATATAAAAAATCAATAGCTTTTTTTATTATGAAAACAATAACCAGTTAAAATGGAGGTATAGTAAGAGATCTCATTTACTATAGCAACTTAAAAATGTAATGCCTACAGTGAACTTTACCAGAAATGGGCAGGGCCTATAGGAGTCCTGGTGTGGCACTGTGGGTTAATGAGCCAGACTGCAAGGTTGGTGGTCAAGCTCATAAGCCGCTCCTTGGAAACCTTTTACAGTGTCACTATGGGTTAAAACGACTCAACTGCACTTAACAACAACAACAACATGTAATGGACTTGGGAAGTCCCTATGAAGGGATGGATTATTGTTGTTAAATGCCATGGAGTAACTTTTGACATATAGCGACCCTGTATAGGGTTTCCAAGGAATGACTGGTGAGCTTGAACCATCAACCTGGTGTTTCAAACCAACCTAGTGGTCCAGCACACTCTACTGCTATGCCACACCAGGGGTGGATTAGAACGTTGGGGAAAAAGCAGAAAGGCTTACTGTGTTCTTAGATAAAAAAGACAATGTTGAAATGATAATCCTCTATAAATGAACCTATGCAAAATACCAGCAGAATGTAAGGCAAAACATGACAAAATGGTCCTGAGTTTAACCTGGAGAGTTAAGTAAGCTGTTGAAACTAAAAAGTAACAGATGGAAGGGGGGATCATACTGTACAGGGAGAGGGATTTATATCCTTCCGTAATGTGTATCTACCACTATTGTAATAAAAACTTACTACTTTTTAAACAAGATATTGTCTTTTCATTGA